CACAGATATATATATATATATATATATATATATATACACACGCACATATATATCTATGTGTGTGTATGTACGCGCGCGCGCGCAACTGTTGGCCTGTTAGCTCGCTGCTTCGGCATAAGTCTCCTCGGTCCTGGGTTAGATCCCATCTGGCTCGAATTAGCACATATGTGGTGGACAACACATGTTACTGTCCACTTTTAGAATAATATTGTTGCCTTGTGTGCTTCAGTTCTATTCTTTTAAATGCATCCTTGTTTGGTATTCAGGTTCCAAATGATCAATCACATGAAGATGTTACTTTTACTGGCTCTCTAAATTCTGATAATGGAGAAATATCCATAGAAGATCAAGATGAGGCAAAAGACACGCAAGGGGAAGCTCAGCTTGTGAACCAGGAGAAAGAGACATCTGCTGCAACCGTTGAAGTTCTTCAGAATCTTGCTGTTGGTGCCGATATCAAGGTTCAGTTTCACTAATATCTTTTGGTTTAAGGATTTTATTTTATAGTTAATCAAACCAATAATATTTCTTCATAGTTTAAATTATGCTTTAGTTGACTCACTTTTGGAAGTTTCAGGGCCTAGAGGCTGTTCTTGACAAAGCTGTCCACACAGAAGATGGACAAAAGTTATCACGGTATGTGTGGTGCTATACAAAAATTTACAATGTTCACCTTAGACTGATTCATACTAAGCATGCAGTCTGTAATGGAGTGTTTTTTAATTTTTTTATGCATACCATTTTCAGAGGGATTGATCTTCAGAGCATGAGCATTACGCATCATGATGCTTTGTTGATATTTCGTACCCTATGCAAGGTTTTATTTTCTTCCTTATTATTAATGTAATGAATTACTTTTAAAGTGATTTCTCACTATTTAGAGCTGACTAAACATACATATCTGCAGATGAGCATGAAAGAAGAGAGTGATGAAGTTACTACAAAGACGAGACTTCTATCCCTCGAGCTTTTGCAGGTCCTTTTACCCTTGTTGAGATATGCATAGATACATGTATGCTTGCTTGCTTGCATTAAAATATTATAATCCTTATTTTCAGGGTTTGCTTGAAGGGGTTAGCCAATCTTTCACGACCAATTTCCATTTTATTGACTCCGTTAAGGCTTACCTTTGTTATGCTTTATTAAGAGCTTCTGTTTCTTCATACCAGGCTGTATTTCAGGTATAATGTTCTTAGCATCTTTTTAATTTCAGTGAATTTGAAGTGTCAGTTTCTGCTACTGAATTTATGTTGTGTCGATACTGTTGAAAACTTTCTAATTTTATATTTTGGGTTGCATGTTCTTAAATCATTTATTTCTTTTGCAGTACGCTACTGGGATTTTCACAGTGCTTTTACTACGATTTAGGGAAAGTCTTAAGGTATGTGTCTTAGCTTATGAAGAAATGAGGAGGTCTTCCTTCAAAATAACTGCAATTACCCTTTTTTCCTACAGGGTGAAATTGGCATTTTCTTCCCCTTGATCATCTTGAGATCCTTGGATAGTGCTGACTGTTTGCTCAGTCAAAGAACAAGCGTTCTAAGGTCAAACATTTCATTTCATATGTCTTGATTGAAACCATTCAGTGTATCCATCCATATTACTAGACCAATCGATAGACGGGCTGCTCTACAAGTAGCCAGGCTCAACCTAATTTTGGCCACTTTTTGGACATTTCTGCCTAATAAGGCAATGAATAGTTTGAAAATCACGAGATATAGCATGTTTATGTGCAAAATTTCTGATTTTATAATTTCCTTAAAATGCAATAACTTCTTTTTTACTTATTTAATGAATAATTATACAGTGTTTCATCAGAATCAACTTCTGCCTGACCTTGGCATTATTAAAGATTCTTAGTAGAGTGAACCACAACATCTTTTTTAAAATATGCAATGATTTACTATGTTAAAATAGTAATTGCTCCTTTGGCTCTCCAAGTATGCTAATGCTTCAATTGAAAGGCCAGCCGGTTTGGTATGTCGAATAAAAGCTGCTTCCCGCCTATTGATTAAATCAGGTCTAATTAATGCATAAAAGCATTTTTTTAGTTTAGGGTTATTTGGTGTGAAAGTTCTTTTTCATTCAGAGCCTCATAGAAAGCTGCTTTATGAGGATGGGCAACTTTCATGAATACATTGTGGAAAATGTTGTACTGCTTTTTTGACCCAATTAGCGTTCCTGCTTACCAATAGGTTATTCTTCTACAATGTAGGCCGTAGCAAACTTTAATACTGTGTCCATTTTATTCTCTTGGACCATATAATATACTTAGCTTTAACCCAATAGTTATGCAGGATGCTTGAAAAAGTTTGTCAGGATCCTCAAATGCTTGCTGATGTGTTTGTTAATTATGACTGTGATCTTGAGGCGCCAAACCTCTTTGAACGCATGGTAAATACTAAGTGGTTCTCATTCCTTAATGAGGATAACTTGTTGTACTGCTTTATGCTGATTCACTTTCTACTTAAAGGTTAATGCTCTATCAAGAATAGCTCAGGGTACTTATAGTACTGATCCTAACTCTGCTAATTCATCTCAAACAGCATCCATCAAAGGCTCTTCACTTCAGGTATTATATTTGCTTTTCCTTGAATTGTATTAATTATTTTTTGCTTTGCGGCAATCTAATTTTTACCTATATTGAATAACAATCTCTTTTCAGTGCTTAGTGAGTGTTCTTAAGTCATTGGTTGATTGGCAAAAGTTGAGAGAGTCTGAAAAAGATGGTAAAGTTGTCCGATCTCTTGAAGTGGATGTTTTGGTTCAAGAACCTTACGATGAAGCTAAAATTCGAGAAGATGGAATCAATCAGTTTGAGAAAGCTAAAGTTCATAAATCTACTTTGGAAGCTGCAATCTTGGAGGTACCTGAGTGTATTACTGCAAAATAGAACTTCATTGTTGCCTACTTTGTAGCTTTTTGGTTTTTTAGATTCATTTCGCTAGTTTGAAAAGGCCACATCTATTGTAGCCCCATGCATGTGTGCTTTTTTCTGCGCCTGCAGTGGGCGATTTGCTTGCCTTCATGCTGTTAAGATACTGGGGTTCTGACAGTGTGACTCGGGCTTTGCTGGGAACACACTCTGCTGCAGTAACCCCTGCTAGCGTCGGTTCAAATGAGCCCTCTTAATGGTCTATTTTGGCATTCTCTTGTTGCGGGTTTTATCAAATATGGTTTTTATTTCTGTTCAGTTCAACCGTAAGCCAGCAAAAGGAGTAGAGTATCTACTTTCAAATAAGCTAGTAGAGAATACACCTCTATCTGTGGCACAATTTCTCAAGGGTTCTCCTAGTTTGGATAAGGTGACTTTCTTCATGATTTGCAGGTAGTGCTTTACGTGGGAAAGATTTATCTAAGCGCTTTAGTTTGCAGGCAATGATTGGTGAATATTTAGGCCAACATGATGATTTTCCTCTTGCCGTGATGAATGCTTACGTTGATTCCATGAACTTTACTGGATTAAAGTTTGATGCTGCAATTCGTGAATTCCTCCAAGGATTCAGGCTTCCTGGAGAAGCCCAAAAGATTGATAGGATCATGGAAAAATTTGCAGAGCGGTAATCATGTATAGAATTGTAATCCATTCATCATTTCTTTAACATTAAAAATCACACACTTAGCTGGGTGCATGATCTTTTTTGCAGCTATTGTTTCAATAATCCAGGCCTTTTCAAGAGTGCAGATACTGCATATGTTCTTGCATATGCAGTGATCATGTTGAATACTGATGCTCATAATCTGATGGTCTGGCCCAAAATGTCTAAGTCTGATTTCATTCGCATGAACACTACAAGTGAGGCAGAAGAGTGTGCGCCAAAGGAGCTCCTGGAGGAAATTTACAATTCAATTGTTAGGGAAGAGATAAAGATGAAGGATGATGTAGTTGGGGCAGTCAAGAGTAGCAAGCAAAGACCTGAGGCAGAAGAAAGAGGTCGGTTAATAAACATCCTTAATTTGGCCTTTCCTAGGAGGTTTTCTGGGGCAGATTCAAAGGCTGAAAGTGAAGAAATAATTAAGCAAACACAAGCACTTTTTAGACGTCAAGGTGTGAAAAGGGGCATATTTCATAAAGCACAACAGGTTGATCTAGTCAGGCCAATGGTTGAAGCTGTAGGTTGGCCTTTGCTCGCAACATTTTCTGTTACGATGGAGGAGGGTGATAATAGAGCTAGAGTGCTTCTTTGTATGGAAGGCTTCAAAGCTGGTATACACATTACTCGTGTTTTAGGGATGGATACAATGCGCTATGCTTTTTTGACCTCTTTAGTGAGGTAAGGAACATGTGGTTGTGAATTTAATCTAACCATGATTAGTAGTTTACATTCCTCACAATTTTGCAAGTATTACTTAAGCATTTCGATTTAGTAACCTTTTCTTTCATGCTTTTTGCAGACTAACATTTTTACATGCTCCAAAGGAAATGCGTAGCAAAAATGTGGAAGCGATTAGAACCTTGCTTGCTTTGTGTGATACAGATACAGACTCCTTACAAGACACATGGAATGCTGTTCTGGAATGTGTGTCAAGGCTCGAGTTTATCACATCAACCCCTTCTATTTCATTGACTGTGATGCAGGGTTCTAACCAAATATCCAGAGATGCAGTGCTCCAGTCACTAAGGGAATTAGCTGACAAACCGACCGAGCATTTATTTGAAAATAGTTCAAAGTTGCCCAGTGACTCTGTTGTAGAGTTTTTTGCAGCTCTTTGTGGCGTATCTGCTGAAGAACTAAAACAATCACCCGCTCGTGTTTTTAGCTTACAGAAGCTTGTTGAGATCAGCTATTATAATATGGACCGTATCCGTCTGGTATTCTTCAAATTAATATTGTTGGCCTATATAATTTTTTTGTATTTTCTTTTTTTGTTTTTTTACTTTTGATGTGGTCTTATTTTATTATTATGTGACTCAAAATGTTGTGCTTGTTTTCCAATCAAGATATATTTGTACATAAACTGGTTGTGCATGAATTCAACATCGATAATGCACCCAGTTAACTAATTGATAAAGTGGTCAATTGGAAGGATGCTGACAAGTGGTGTTAGGATCATTTTGCCTTCAAAAAGGCATGTTGCAAAAATCTATAGGAAACCGATGGAAGAGCAGTGAAGCTTGAAAAAAGTTTAATATTGAGAAAGTAATCCAACGTTCTCACATTACGCCCTAAAGCACTGGGATGAGTAGGGATGGTACCGCATCAATTCCAATAAGGCTTTTTTTCTGGTTGCATTCATCATAATTAGTTCTGAATGGTACATATTAAGGCTATTTTTTAGGGATAACATGAGTGGACTTTTAATAAATAGCTCTTAGACATACTGGATGATCACAGCTGATTATTAAAAGGAGAAATGGTAATAAATGCTCTAAACAAATAAACAAAAGATTAAACAATTATAGAAAAGTCTAAGCATTAATAAAATATTTCATTTCCTTATGTAATATGAGATCTAGGTGGGATAATTGACATGAAAATGAATGGTATTGGGGACAAAAGACTTTCTTTTGGGTGGTTTATGTTTTGGTAGTCTCTAAACGACCTGGTAATCAAGGAACTAACTCTTCCTACGTTGTATATGCATCATTTGATGATGGATTTTGGGATGTCAGAGCCAATGAATAGGATATTTGGGGATGCTAGATTAACCAATATTAATCTTATCACTCACTTTTTTATTAATCCCTTGCTCATAGAAATTATTGGTTGGGCATGCTCAAACATTGCTGCATTGGAATCAAACAGGTTGGCCAAATGCTTAAGTTCAATGTACCTTGATATGTAAACTGATTTGCATTAGAAGTAGGATTAACGTCAAAGTCAGATTGAAAATCAAGCATGCATGCATTAGACTTAATTTTTTTGTGGTTGTTTCCTAGGATGATTTTAGGTGAATACACACTTGAACATAATCACCTACATTGCATTTCTTTGAATGTTATAAGCCTCTAATAATGCTTTACAATCTTCACTATTGTTCATAATTTGTTCCTTAATATTAGCATGTGATTTATGTAGATGTTCTTTTATAGGATTTATTTGCCTGCTAAGGTTACATCCATACACAGTTTCAAATGAGTTTTGCTTGTTGCCATATTATAGTTATTCAAAGGAAATTCAAATAATTGACAGGATTATATTCCTTGTACCCATGTTATTTTCAACATCTTAGAAAATTTCTTTGATTTATATTCAACAATTAAGTTTCTGTGAATGCGGATGGTAATTTAAATGCTGTACTATATAATTATAATTTTTTTCTTAAAGAGCTGATAAACTTAGCACCTATATTAGGTATGATTGATGTTAACTAATTTGAAGTCTAATGATTTTCATGACGAACAATTTATCAATTTGTAGTACATTATTTGTCTTAAAAAAAGGCAAGAAATGTACCATCTTATATAACTTGTTAATGTTGCGTATGTTATAATTATGCTCATTGGAAATTTTAGGTAATCCTTGGACAAAGTCTATGCATAGGTTTTGTTGGTGCATTAAAGTAAAAACCTATATAATCCAGTATTCTTCTTTATAATTTTACCAAGTAACATGTGTATTATTAACCCAGAAACGTTAGAACATCACACCTTTGAATCACAAAATGAAATTCTTTAGGATACGACTTTAAGAGTGTTTTACAAGAAAGTAGAAGGTATGTACAGTTTATTTCCTTTAAAGATGTATCAATATTTGATGACTAATAGCTTGGCTTTTATCTTCAATTTTACTATACATTGAATGGGAATTAGGATGCATTTAGTATTCTTTAAACTCTTAAACCAAAAATAAATATTTTTATGTAGTTTAAAGTATTTTCGCAACATAAAACATTAAAAAATTTGCTTTTAACTGCATAATAATGTTCCTGTAGAAAAGTATACCCTTATAGTATGTCTTGTGTACATTTTTTACGGTATTTAACATATTCAGTGCGTAGTTGTTGGAATAGAATTATACTTCTTATGGAAGCATATGAAAATGCCAATATCTTAAGGGTTGAATTACAGTTTACAGCCTTTCATTTTAAGTGAGGGTGTGCCTGTTATTTGTGTTGAAGTTGCCTATACAATGTAATGTGGAGGTCCAAGTTTCGATTGGAAAAACATCACCCCATAAATGAAGGGATGATGTTGTATATATCAACTCCCATTGATGCAACACCGAGGATTTTGTTACAAGAGGATTTATTAGCAATTATATCTACTTGGTTGCGAACCTAACTCTTTGATTATTGGGTGGATAATTATTTAAGCTGCATTTGAGTTTCCATCATATTTTTATTTCATTTAGCTTATTTTGAAATAATATGTAGTTTTTGAGCCCCCGTCCCTCTCCTTTCATTTTTACTCTATGTAGCGGATCACTTATGAATGAAGAAGAAATGGAAGTTATCTTGTAAAATTTCTGCTTGAAAAAGCTCTTTTCTTGACCTTGGCCAACTAAACTCCTTTCTTCGCTTCAAATATGTTTCCTCTTCCGCCGCCAGCTGTGCGTGTCCGGGCAATGTTTCATCCTCTAGTTTTTTCTTAGATTATGCAACTCTTTTTCTTAATTTTTTTCTTCAATCTAATTCAACAAAATATTCCGCTACCACTACTATTGATTTCGGAGCAAGATTTTTTTGGATTCTTACTTTAGATATTACCCCATTACTTCCTTACCATACCTTTCCCCTTAAACTTTGGGTCATTTGAACCATACTCTAATCTTAACTACTAACCACAACCATCACTAGCACCACACGGTCACCAACGCCACCACCACCATCCACCATCCACCAGGTGACAGACGTCTCAGGCTACACGAATGGGGACGGACGAACTTTGTGTCCCTCTCTCCTCTGATCTAGTTTGGAGAAAGCCTATTATCTTTCTTCTTTTGATTTAGAATTAGGGTTTTATAATAATTTAGTATAAGTATTTTGTTTGGAGACTTTTAAAGAACTTTTGCTTGATTTTATGCAATTTGGAGATTATTTGTTATGAATTTTTGCTCTTAGGAGTGTTGTTGTCTTCTTCTCGTTCAAGTGGTGCGCATGTATCTTGCTCAAAGAGTAGGTGGTGTAACCTCCTAACATTCGTCTGTCGCCAGCCAGACCAATCCCCTTCTTTGATATTTTCCTCCAAGACAACTTTCGTTGTTGCTTCCCTCATTCGAATGTTTGTTGATTCTTATATTCTCCCCATCTTTTTATTTTACAAATTTTCACAACTATTGTATCAATTCTAAGATACCATCTAGGAATGTTAGATCAGTTTCTTTTAGTATCAGAATTAAATCCTGATCCTAATCCTAATTTCATGCTCTTAACTCTAAATCATTTTGTAGATCCATATTCTAAATTCTAAAATTCTAAAATTCTTAATCTACAAAACCTATCCTTTTCACCTCGACCAAAACGAGCTCTTCACCCTCCACCAAAAATTCAATCCATCGGCTAACCCTAAAACTCACACCTTTACTCAGTCAAAACTCTAACTGGGGATCAAACCATCATGTTACCACGGGAAAACACACAAAGGGGTGTCTAATAGCTAACAACGGAGGATATGTTATGGGAAATCTTCTAATTATAAGATAGACTTGCTAAATTTGAAAGGAAACAATATGAGGAAATCACCCATTTCTATAATAGTGGCCCACATGATTGAGAGGAGAAAATTAATGCTTTTTTTTAAAGGTCTCTAGTGATAAAGAATCAATGCTACGACAAATTGCCATTGAATATTAGAGAAGAGGACGATTTTGGGTCGAATTTCGATTTGTTTGATTTTGACGGTTGTATGGATTCGGTTGAGTTCATTGAATGGTTCCAAATTATAAAACAAACATTTGAGTGTAAAGATATCCCGCAAGACAAAAATGTTAAATTGTCCGCCATCAAATTCTTGAAGAGCGATTTCTTATGGTAGAAAAATCTAAAGTGCCTATGATAATGAGAAGGGAAGAGTAAGATTATTACACATTCTAAAATGAAGCAGGAGATGCAATGCAAATATCATTCTCCACATTATCAGAATGGTCTGTTTTGAAAACATTACAGTATGCAGTTATGCACTAAAATGATTTATCTGTGGAGAAGGATACGACTGGATTTGAACAACTCATAATATTGTGAGTTGGAGCTAGAGGAGCACACGATAGCGCGTTTCATGGGAAGAGCAAAGTTATCTAGTGGCAATATGATACAACAGCAGTTTTATTGGTCCCTAATTGACTTATAAAACCCTAGTTTTGAAGGTGGAAGAAAAAAATCATCGCATAGGGACTAGCACCGGCTATAGTAGGACTCGACTCTAGGATCAATCAGTAAGGGTACACCTATTAGATCACCCAAGTTACCCATCACGTGAGGAGACATTGACCGAGTGAAGAATGGTGGATCAAACTACTTCAAGATACAAGTATTTGAAGTTCATGCCTTTGGCCAATTGCTCAATTAGGAGGGCGTTTTTTTTTTCACCGAGCAAGGAGCAGTGGAATAAGTGAATAGTAACCTCGGGAACACAAGAGAAAGTGTTGATGTGAAGGAGTATTAGATTCTCTCTAACGAGTGAGAGAAGTTAGTGGTTTGATAGATCTTTCTGATTGAGCCCAAAAGAGTGCAACAATAGCTTTGTTGTATCTTTTGTATCCATTGCTTCGTAAAAGAAAATGCACATTGTCCTATCATTGATAAAGAAAGTTGTAAGAATATGTTGTCTGCCAAATAGTAGACAATTTAAGTCTCACAACACTAAAGCACACCAAATCATATTCCCTCACTTGTTGAAAAGGGAATGAAATCACAGTTGATGTGAGACGTTTGGTGGAATTCTCTATTTGAAAATGTTTCAAGAGCATATGTAGTGTGATGTTGTGCCTATGGATGCTTGATGGCTACAAGAACATATATTTTTTCACCAGTGATGGAAGTGCATCATTATTTTACCTTAAAATGAATATGAGATAATGGATGTTCATACAGTTCAAAGACCATAGTCCCCCGCATTATCTTTTTATAGGCTTTGAGAGAATCATCAGTGGAGTTAGCGTTGGTTGCCTTAGAAGACAATGAGTCCGAGGAGCCAATATAAAATAAAGTGTAGTTTCTATTAAAAAGTTTTAGGAAGTCATAATTGACAATCCATCTCATGGGTTGCCACTATTGAGAGGGATCTAATATCCCATAAATTTAATCTTAGAATCAATTTTCCCATTCCAACTTGTCTATCGAATGCGGTCAGTCTAGTACGATGAGTTATAGAAAGATATTTGAAACTTGATGGCTAGAGAATTAGTTCGCGAGAGCACTAGCTTGTGTACACTTACAACCTGACTGCATCAAACCAGGATGGCTATTGACATATGTGTATTGATAGTTGGGCTATCAAAATTATCGTGTACTGGTTCCCCATTTCATGGTTAGATTATTAGTTCGATCAATGACATGAAACTAGCATCTTCTCTAAGTTCAACTTGTGCATGGCTATCACCAGATTAGGATGAGACTATGAAATGAGTGGTAAACAAAATTTAAGACTTGGGATGAATTATATGAGTGGAAAGTCGTGTCATTTAACTTGTCCAGTATTCCTAACGCTTTTGTACAGTTGATGAGACATTTTTTTTAGCATCATCGAAAAATTTGTACTTGTGTATTTTGATGATATCTTGGTAAATAGTCATATAGTAGAGGATAACATGCAACATAAGTGTTACAACCTGCAACGCTCAATGAATAGTTTTTGAGGCACTTCGGACAATCCAACTATATAGTTCACCGAAGACATTTTGCTTTCTAATTGCACACTTGATTTATGGGATATGCGACATCAACAAAAGGGATAGGTCCACTTAAGATCTAAGCTACTGTGAACTAGCCCGGTCAACATTTTTTTGCTTAGGTGTGCCAGGGACTAACTTATTTCTAAAATAGGTTTATCACTATTTCAACTCAATTGCGATACCTCTGGCGAAGTTTCTCAAATCAGATATATTTTCTTGGTCAGATAAGACACAAGCTAATTTTGAGGCATTGAAGCAATAGATTAATCAGACTACAATTCTAACTCTTTTAGTTTAATTAGGTGTTTGACGTGGGGTGTGATACCTTTAATGTGGGGATGAAAGTTGTAGTGAGACAAGATTTGCACCCTATCTCCCTCTTTAGTGAAGAGAAAGTATTCATCTATGAGGATTTTTTTTTTATTATTCTGAGAGCTCTCATTCATTGGAGTCTTTATTTGTTGGCCAACGAATTCACTCTTTATATTGATCATGACACTCTAAGGTTTCTAAACCATCAAAACAAGCTTAACGGTTCATACCTCTTAGTTGGAGTTTCTCTCTTTATTTCATTTTGTGCTCAGAACACAGTGGGGATTCAAATTATGGTGTTTGATGCTAAGCTATGTCACCATCTTTTGTTGATCATCACCATGAATTTAAGGGTCATTGGTTTTAAAGCATTTGAGTTTGTTGTTAGGATAGGTTGTATGTGCAGTTCTACAACTCAAATACTTGTTCTATCAAAACATGTTGGGCATTCTCAAGAGGTTACGTAGGGAGGAAACCTTGCAGAAATGTCATAATGGTGGGATGCCAGCAAGTTTGGTAGGAGTAAGGTTTCTTCTTTAGTAAAAGAAGACATTGTTTGGCCTAGGATGACATGAGAAGTGGAGAGGCATATTAGACATTGAGGGTGTCCATTAGCCAAGACCCATGGTCAAAACACAGGCCTCTATACCCATATTCCTATCCTTGAAGCATCATGGGTGGGTGGGAGTATCCCATGGACCTAACATAGTAAGGATTTTGTTATGGTGGTAGTGGATCTTTTTCTTTTTTTTGATGAAACATGTTGTAACATGCCATAAAATGATGGATGTTTTACTCACAAACTTATATTTCAAAGGGATAATTCATTTTCATGGAGTACACAGGACCACTAATTCCGATGAATGTGAAGTAAGCGTTTTTATTAACCAAAACACTAATATGTTATATAAAATTATTAATAAATAAATACGTTCATTAAAAATTATAAAATATAGAGTATGATTTATATGTTGATGTAAAATAGAAAAAAATAAGATACAATAGTTAAACTATAGGCAACATTAAGTGTTAATGTACAATTTATAATAGTTTTTTGTAATAATTAAAAACTTAAAATTGTAAAAAAAATTGTAAATTAATATGAACATTTCATAGCACGCTTTAGCGAAGCGAAGCTAGTGTCACGCTTCGTTTGGCTTTGCTCATGAATCATGCTTTGAACATGCTTTTAAAAATATTGATATGGACTGAGCTATATACAAAGCTCCAATTCAGTTTGCCGGCACACATTCAACATGATGTTTAGACTGGTGGTGAACAAGAGCCTAGGAACCTCCTTGATATTTTGTAGAAAAGAACATGAAATTATGAGACTTTGATTCTTTTTTTGGAGTTAATACCCCTGGTTTCAGCTATTTAACTTTACGCTGATGTAGAAATTAGATCTAGAGAGATTCAGATTCTATATGAGCAGACAAGGGACAAAAATATCAACAAAGCACCAAGTGTTAGAAGTAGGTAAGAAGTCTAGGAAAGCTATGGTATTCACGGAAGGTGATTTGATGCTGATCATAATGAAGAAAGAGATTTTATGTAGGTTCTTATGGGAAGCTCAAGCTTAGAGTTGACATTTCATTCGGGATTTTCAAGAGGATTAATGACAATGCTGATAAGATTCACTTGCCTGGTGATTATAATATTTCTGCCAAATTTAATTTCCTCTTCAAATTTGCAGGTCATTTGTGGTAACTGCAGTTTTCACTTGCATATATTCATCGTATATGCATTTCTGCTTTAGATCTGATAAATATCTTTATCTCTACCTATTAATGATTGATTACCCATTCAAAATGTGGCATTTACTGTATCCAACCTGTAATCACTATTTAAACCCATTTGGGGAGCTAAAGTTGATGTTGATTAGATTTTTGTGATTATGATTGTGCAATACCGCTGTTAGGTGATTAATAATCTCTTGAATGAGCTAACGGAATCATTTTCACCTTGTTTGTCAATTTTTTATTTTAATATGATTACAGGTAACTTTTGCATTTAAAGATGGCATAAAATGTTAATTACGTGCAATATACTTATGACCTATATGGAATCATTCCTGTTTCTTAACAAATTGAGATATTAAAGTAGAACCTTGCCAAAATATATTTGTACTTGACTTTACTAACCTCATCATGACTTGTGTGCTTCTGATAGGTCTGGGCTAGAATATGGTCAGTCCTTGCACAGCATTTCATTAGTGCTGGGAGCCATCATGAAGAAAAAATAGCTATGTATGCTATCGATTCTTTGAGACAGCTTGGCATGAAATATTTAGGGCGTGATGAGCTCATCAACTTTACCTTCCAGAATGATATTTTGAAACCATTTGTTATTCTAATGCGGAACAGTTGGAATGAAAAAATTCGTGCTCTTATTGTTGATTGCATTGTACAGGTGAGTCATCCGGCATAATTTTTTTAACAATGCAATCACATCTGCCACATTGCCTCTGAGAATCTTCACCTTTTTTCCTGTGCTCATAATAAACTAATTCCATTACTGAGTTTTCAGATGACAAGTTCGAAGGTTGCTCGTATTAAGTCTGGTTGGCGGAGTGTGTTTATGATATTCACTGCAGCTGCTGATGATGAACTGGAATCCATAGTTGAAAAAGCATTTGAGAATGTTGAACAGGGTAGGCGTTGAGTTTCATCCTGTAAAGTTTCGAGACTATAGATTTCTTGCTGATTCAACTCTCGGTTCTCTCTATTTCCTGATCTTCTACATTTTAGGGAGATAACACTATATTTGTTGCAGTTATTCTGGAGCATTTTGATCAAGTGGTTGGCGATTGCTTTATGGATTGTGTTAATTGTCTCATAAGATTTGCTAACAATAAAAAGTCTTCCCGGATAAGTCTGAAGGCCATTGCTCTCCTTCGTATTTGTGAAGATCGTCTAGCAGAGGTTGTGAAAAATGATTCATTTATGTGTTATTTGTAAACTATAGGTTCATTTACTCGATTGATAACATTTAAGTTCCTTTTTTGAGCTTTCCTTCATGTTTGCCTTTCTCTACTATAGTCTAGTTCAATTAATGTATTGTTTATATTGTTTCTTTTGTTCTATTAGTTTCCTTTTAGACTTGATGGTTTGTGTCCACATAGAAGAAGAATATGGGTTGGCTAACATGAAAATGATTCCTTAACTTTCTTTTAGGATTAAACATGTTGAATTGGACACAAGTTTATGATCACTTGTTTACTGCTACAATAGCATATGGATAAACTCTTCTTTAAATGCATTTACGGGAACATGCCAACTTTAAAGCATTGTATAATTAAAATAAGTTATCCTGTATGACTTGTTACAATCATTATAACCTTTTTTCGCAATATTTGCATTTGATTTTCATAGAGATTACCTGTGCTGATTTATTTTATTTTTTTTCATTTGCACATGATGCTATTGGTACGGCTACTAGAATCTTAAAGTTAGTTAATATTTTGTTTTATTTTTGTTTTGGTAGTCACTCTAGATGTGATTGACCCCTCAAAAACTTTGCTTCATGATGTGGATGAACTGTCAAATTAGCTAGAAGCCCTGACAACGTATGTGCAGCATTTTGTAGATTCTTCTCCCTTGCATATTGCAGATCCCAGAATGTCACCTATCCCGTTTATGGGAAATTTCAGGAAACTTTGCATAGGGGATAGCTCCATTGCCCTCATAGGAAACAAATAGAACAACCACGGTAGTTATAATACATTTTTCTGTTGATTAATGAAGTTCTTTCCCATTGTTCTCCTTTTTGAAAATTGCATTTTATTTTATTTGCAAAATTCTTTTGCATGCCCTCTAACGGCGCAGTGGTACTATGCTTCTTTTTCTCAATCATTCTTATTTCACTTGTCCCTAGCTTAGCTTTCTTAGCTTTCTACCGCCTGTCCTAGAGTCTTACAATCTTATTTTCTTGTATCTAATCTCTTTGGTGGTGACACCAGCATATTTTAGCATACTATGGTTGTTGATTTATTTATTCATGCTTTTTTCCATTGAGATATCTATCAAGTATCAACTGCATAAAAACCATTTTTATAATTCTTTTATTCCAATTATTTTTATTTTGTAGCAATTCTTACTGCTATTCGCTAGAAACTTAACCTGTGGGGCAATAATATGTTAACTGTTAAGCACCCCTATTGAAATAGGATGATTACAGTTGTAGAAACTTAACCTGTGGGGCAATAATATTGTTAAGCACCCCTATTGAAATAGGATGATTACAGTTTTTCTTAATGTTTACTAATATGGTTCATTGGTATGATTTTATGCAAAGAATGCTATTTAAAGCTCCATTGATAATAAAATGATTGTGCATAATAAAAAATTTTAGCATGAATTGGATAACAAATAAAAATGGGCGAGCAACAGATTATATTTCACAAAATCAGATTGCTGATTTTTTTTCTTGTTTTGACCAAATTTAAAAGTGCTAACCTTGTCAATGACAAATCTACAGAAGAAATAGGCAGAGGATGAAATAAGCGAAGTAAAGAAAATTCAGGCCTCACATTCGTATAAGCAGATGATTTCTTGTATAATTAAGTAGTCACACTTGTGCTATGCTAAAAAAAAATAATACATCCAATTTATACTCACAAGATTTAAATTAAAAATAAAATTTTTAGCTAAATTTTGTAAATTAAATTTCTAAGAACACTATTTGTGGATTCCTTTTGGCCTAAGTGAATTGATAATATTAGCACCAGATCAATTCAAGTTTAGGTTAATCCCCATGTTACTGAAAATTCCCTCAAGACAATAGAACTACGATTGCCTTTGAATTTAAATTTTGAAATCCATAGAATAGTTGACACGAGAGCGGATTTTTCCTCGTTCAGATGGAAATCAAGGCTGCAATTTCTTCCCAGCTGTCCCGTTATGGGATTATTCTTATCCGTAGGGGTGGGCTGCCCCTTGTGGGCTCTTTTTATGTTATTTTGAATTGAATCAGGGTTGTATGTTGTTTTTGTATAAGTCGTGTTAAGAAAATCTGTTGGACACTTTTTTGCTTTGGTTTATGCATTTACAGGTGTTCTTTGATTTTTTTGCTCCAAAAAATGTTGTATTTCTTTTTAAAAGTGATGTGTGTGTAGCTTGTTTAGGATTTGGTGGGGGATCTCTCTCGGCAGCCATGCCTTGCCAAGACCATCATTTCTTTGTTCTCTCTATTATTTTTAGGCTAGAAAGCTATATTTTCTATCTCTTTTTATTCCACAACCACCTCCCCTCTAAATCCGAGTCTTTAACACCTTCTAGGACTCTTAGACCAGTGTCATATGACATCAAATCCCAACAAATCCTAAATTTTTTCGGGATTTATTTTTTTCTTTGATGTCCTATTTTTGACACTAAAATCCACATAATCTAATACATCCACCAAAATCATCTCGGCATCCTCCACCTAACCCTAATCTTTCAACTAACCCTAGATCTTAATTTCTCTAGAGCGCCACACCATTAAAGACCTTATCATTAAAGATATGCAGTGGAAAGTCCTCCAATTGCAACGGTGGCTTGCTCATTATAAAAGACAAAACTTGAGAAAGTCGGTCACAATACGAATAGTGACCATTTGAGTAGGGAAGAATAAATCTCTTTTATACTAAGAAACCCCAAGAGACAAAGAGCTAATTATAAAAGATGGCAACTTGCGAAAGTCAATCACAATAAGAATAGTGACCATTCAAATAGAAAAGAAGAAATTTCATTTGTACTAAGAAACGTCAAGAGACGAAGAGCTGATGTCAAGTCGATGGCATTATTAAGTATAGGAGGGATGGCTTTAGAATGAATGTTGATTTACTAGATTGTGATGGACTCTGGATCCAAATGTGTTCATTAAGCGGTTCCAGATTGTGGATTGGGTCATGAATTTTTTAATACAAGGACATTCCACCTAATAGGAAAGTGAAGCTAGATACGTGATTTCATGGGGTTGGAGAACTTGAAGTGCCTGTGTTAGCATGAGAAAAAAAGTAAGATCACAATTTTGTCCAAGGTGAAAAAATAAATTCAGCATAATTACCTATCGGAACATTACAAAGAGAATATTTTGAGACCTCTTCATTTATAACAAAAAAACTTCTCAAATGATGGTGATGCTTGTGGTTTGACGAGTTTTTCAGGTCGAGCCTGAAGAGGAATCAGTAGTGGCTTAGGCATAACATCTTTTGTATATGTTATACTGTGAAGGGAATATATGTAGTTTTATTAAAGATTGTGGTAGCTGTGGGATTGTATGTCTACACAGATGATAGACAAATTAAACCTTAGTACCCAAAAGCATTCCCATTCATATTTCCCGACATAATTGAAGGGGAATGCATTAGTGTCGATAAGAGGTATATGGTAGAGTTTTTAATTAGACAAAAGTGTTAGGATCAAATGTGGAGTGATATCGTTCCTATTGAATGCGCATCACATTCTTTTGGGCTGACCGTGGAAGTATGACTTGAGTACACTTCTTAAAATATTGTAATTTTGTATTACTAAGTCAAAAAAGTTGTCAAAATACAAAAAAACATTATTAAGAATTGACAGTGTGGTTAGTAGACACCCTAATCACACTAATAAGAAAAAATAGAGTAACAATTAGGCACCTTCCATACAAAAGAAGAATTCAAAGCTAAACTTACAAAAAAATTGATTGCTTTGTACAATCCAAAGGAACCAAATAAAAAGAACCTGTCCATGACAATAATGACAATATGAAGTAGGTAAGCTTCTCGGTGGCTATAAAAACATCACGCTTATCAAGGATGAGAAATGTATTGTACTTATGTCGTTGAAGGAGTCAAAAAACGATGAGTACTCAAAGAGATGAGCTATAGTGCTCGTGCTACATTTCTATAGGCTATGACAAAGAGGCTAGTGAGACTAGCCTCGGGGATGTTAGAGGGTGGTGGGTCAAAGTAGTCGGCATCCCATATAATGCATCTTGCATTGAAGGAGTTTCATAATGTTTTGATTGCTACATTTATACAAGCTATGAAACTCATTGTAGGATTAGTGCTTTCCAACAGACCAACCTATTGGTTGCAACCAATAAAGTACCAGTTGTAAATGTAGGTTACAAACTTTATGGCTAGAGGGTTGGTCCATGTACAATTTTACAAAAATGATGATTCTTGGTGCATGTGTATTGATAATAGATCTATGCATAAAATCACTATCAAATATTGATTTCCTATTCCACAACTGAATGATTTGCTTGATTAACTACATGAAATCAATGACTTATCCAAGATTAATTTGCACGGCGGTTATTACCACACCAGGATAATGTTAGGGGATGAGTGGAAGACAACTTTCAAGATTTTTGATTGGGTTATATGAGTAGACGATTGCCATTTGGTTTGTTAAATGACCCAAGTACATTTATGAGGTTGATGAATCATGTATTTCGAGCTCATTGGAAATTTTGTTATTGTGTTCCTCAACGACATCTTGGTGTACAGTCATTTAAAATAGGAGCATTTACCGCAGTTATGATAGATGTTTGGAGTTCTTTAGGCAGAGTGGTTATATGTACACTTGAAGAAGTTTCACTTTCTCATACTACAAACATGCTTCCTAGGATACATTTTTCCAGCTACTGACATTGAGGTGGACTTAAAGAAGATCAAAGCTATTATGGCGTGGCCCAAAACACAGTCATTTACTGAAGCACACCACTTTCATAGATCAATTTTTTTTAAGAAATTTGTCAGGAATTTTAGCTTTATTACAACACCTTTGACGGATCTCTTCTAGTCAGATTGATTCACTTGGTCATATGAAACATTTATTAGCTTTAATGCTGTGAAGAAATAGATTTCAATGAAGTGTTTGAGGTGGATTGTGATGCTTCCAATGTCGGATTTGGAGCCGTGTAGAGTCAAGACAGATACCCTATTGACTTT